GGTGGCGCGGACCGGCGGGCAGGGACCGGAAAGGCCGCGAGGGCCGGCGGAATCGAGGTTCAGAGTTCGCAGGTCCCAGGCCCGGCCCGAAGTAAGAGGAGCCTCCCCGCCCGCCCCGGCGCCTGCGGAGGACCGGGGCACCCCGAGTTCAACTTCTCAACATCCGTCCCGATTGGGAAACTGAGCACAGAGACGTACGTTCCCGTGGTCACGTTCCCGGGGGCTTTGCAGCCCCAGTTTCCTGCCCCTGCTCCTTCTTATCAGGTCTGTCGATCTAACGAGCGCTTGGCGCAGGTACAAGCCTACGGGATGCTCTCAATAAATGCTCACTTGTGAACGAGTAAAAAAAATCGGCGGCCGGTCGAGATGAGACACATGCTGATTCTCATGGGTCGGGGGCACCAGGGGCGCGAGCATTTATTGAGCTCTTATTGAATGCTCTGTTGGCCAGCATTTGTGTTCATTTTACAGATGGGGACTCAGAGGCTCGGAGAGGCGAAGCGAGCTCTCCACGGCCACACAGAAGTAAGTGGCTGAGACAGGACTGGAAACTCGGAGTGTCTGGTCCCAAGTGGGTGCCAGGTGCCAAGAGGAGTAACACTTGGAAGAGGGAAGAGCTGTGTCAACAGGTGAGGAAGGACAGCTGGGACAGGTGCCCTTCCGCCCCCTCCTGGCCTCTTTTCCTTCGGACCTCCTGCGCCCACTCCTTGCCCTATCCTCAGCTACCAGGACATTGGGAAACGTCTGTGCAAAGACTTCTCAAAAACTAAAGAAAACGTTGTTTTATGGTCTTTGTTTTTCCTGATTGCCAAAATAAAATATACTCATAGAACATGTGAAAAAGCAGGGCCGGACCTATGGCTCACTAGGGAGAGTGCGGTGCTGAGTACACCAAGGCCCTGTGTTCGGATCCCATATAGGGATGGCCAGTTGGCTCACTGGCTGAGCGTGGTGCTGACAACACCAAGCCAAGGGTTAAGATCCCCTCACCGGTCATCTTAAAAAAAAAAAGTGAAAAAGCAAAGGGAGGAAATCAGTTTGCCAGGGATTTTTTTTTTTTTTTCAGTTTAATAATATTGAAAGAAATTGAAGCCTTTTGCCCTAGTGTTGATGGAAGGGGCAGATGCTAGAGTCCAGCACTGCTCTGCTGCTACCGGGCTGTGTGACTTTGAGCAATTCACTTCCTTCTGGGCCTCAATTTCCCCATAGGAGGACTGTTGGCTTTGCCACCTCCTTGCCGTGTGGCTTTGGGCAGGTTACAAAACTCCTCTGAGTCCCGATCCCTCCTCTGTAAAAGGAGTGGGGACAATAGCATCCCCAGAATTGTCCTGAGGACTGGATGAGGAAGGCATGGTGCGATGGCTGAGAGTAACAAGCCTGGCTTCACCTCACTGTGACTCAGTTTGCTCATGTGTAAGATTGGAAAAATAGTAGTACCCCCTGTCGGTGTATAGTGGGGATTAAATGAGATCATTCGTGTCAAGTGCTTGGCTCGGTGTAAGACATAAAACAGCAGCATTGCTTAGTAGGCTCTGTAGGATGTAACGGGCTGGTCTGTCTAGGCTTTGAACTGGTGGCCTAGAGCCAAGTCCATCTCCAGAAATATGTTTTCTTTGTTTTGAGGGCTTGCCCAGTCTGGCCACTGCCCGTTTTCCATATTTATCTCACTCGGCTGGCCCCCGGAGGCAGGAGTCTCTGAATGCTGTGTGAAGTCCCTAGTCCCTCCCGGCTCTGATATCTGGTCTCAGGCTGGTGGCTGGGTGGAGAGGGGTAGGTTTTCATAGAGATACCACTGGGGACTCAGAAAGAAGGGCATATTTACTCTGCATGCCAAATAAGCAGCGCCCTGGGTTCCTCCAACAGGACTATATCGAGAATGTGGGTTTTTACATCAGCTTTCCTTTGGTGGTGGGAGGAGGGACAGCAGTTCCAGGCAGGAGTCTCTGAATGCTGTGTGAAGTCCCTAGTCCCTCCCGATTCTGATATCTGGTCTCAGGCTGGTGGCTGGGTGGAGAGGGGCAGGTTTTCATAGAGATACCACTGGGGACTCAGAAAGAAGGGCATATTTACTCTGCATGCCAAATAAGCAGCGCCCTGGGTTCCTCCAACAGACTACATCGAGAATGTGGGTTTTTACATCAGCTTTCCTTTGGTGGTGGGAGGAGGGACAGCAGTTCCTTAGGTGATAAAGTGTTCAGGTCCCTCTTGCTGGGTCCTGGGGTCTTCAGTGACACTTTTCCTCCCATCTTGCAGGCCGTTGGAGCCGCCAGCTGTTTGGACCTGAACTACTGCAGAAGGGGAAGTGGAGAGTGAGGGTCTGGTCTTGTGGGGGCTGATGGCCGGCAAATGGCTGAATCTTCGCTGGGTGCTGAGTTTGCTCTGTGTGCCACTGATGGTGGAGACAGTGTCTGGGGTCAGGGGCCCATCTACAGAGACTCCCATTAGTCCCCAGTTTCCAGCCTCAGGTGTGAACCAGACCCCCATGGTAGACGTGAGTATCCAGGCAAGAAGTGGGAGTTGGGTTGGGGTGTATTCATGCGATCAACAAATGTTTATTGAGCATCTGCTGTGTGCCAGGCACTGAACTGTATCCTAGGATATACCAGGAAACAATACAGTGTAGACAAAAATCCCTCTCCTCAGAGAGCTGACAGTCTCTTGGGTAGACAGATAAAGTAAACATGTACATTTCAGGTAGCACTGTGCTAAGTGCCCTGCAAACAATAGAAAAAGTGATATGGGGGGAGAGTCTGAGAATTTCCAAATATGAAGGAAATGAGGAAATGATTTTTGAGCCAAGCCCGGAATGGAGAGAGAAAGCCACTTACACAGACATTTGGGGGGAAGAGCATTCTGGGCAAAGGGAAGCAGCAAGTGCAAAGGGCCGGAGGCAGGAGCAAACTTGGTGTGTTCAAGGAGGCCAGAATGGCTGGAACAGGGTGAGTGAAGGGAAGAATATTAAAAGAGGAGAATGGAGAGGTAGTGGTGGCCAGATTGCAAAAGGCCTTATAGGCTGAGGCTAGGAGGTGAGGATTGCTTTACAACAGGGTGGAGCCAATGGAGGGTTTTAAGCAGAGGGATGTCAAAATCTGATTTATTTCTTCAGGGGATCTATCTGATTGCTTTGGGAGAATGGATTGACAGGGCAGAGGGTGGTAGCCTAGTGGGGAGGCTCCTACAGCCATCCAGGTGAGTGATAGTGGTTGTGGGAGATGGGAAAGAAGGGGGATTCGGAATAAATGTTGGAGGCACAGTGAGCAGGACATACTGATGGATGAGACAGAGGGACGTGGTGGGAGAAAGGGAGGAGTCACGGATGGCTCTGGGTTTCTGGCCTGATCTGAATGTGTGATGGTGCTGTTGATTTGAATGGGGAGCACCAAGGAGGAGCACACTGGAGTTAGAGGCAAGAAGGCTTCCTGCCGGGGCATGGAGCAGATGAGCCGTTGAGACAGGCTGCAGGGAACTTGCATCATTCTACTGTGATGTGTGTAAGGGGAGGAGGTGACAGCGGATCCAGAGTAAAAGCATGAAGGCAGGGGACTGCTTAAGATGACCCCCTAGAGTCCTCTCCAGCTGCAGGGTGCTGGAGTTCTCACCATGTATTTTCTTGGACAGGAATTCCAAATTCAAACCTGAGAGCGTTTAGTGCCATGCCAACTTTATGGGGCTGCAAACTGACTTCATGCCCATGGTCTGAGGCAGGCAAACAGGCAATTAAGCCCATTTTACAGATGGAAAAGTGGTTTGTGGTTACTTGGGTTACAAAATTGATGGCTGCCTCCAGGGGCATGCTTTTTGGGGGCAGGAAAACTGGGTGATCTGTGGCTTGTGCCAGATAATCTCTCCATGTTATTGAGCACTTAGGTGAGCACTGTGCCCAACTCACCAAATCCTCCTCCAAACCCCATGAGGTTGGTGTGATTATCTCTGTGCTGTAGATGAGGATGCTGAGGTTCAGGGAAGCGAAGGTGGCCGTGAGGGGAGTGGCAGAGCCCAGATATGAACTCATGGTTGCCTCATGCTGAGTCCAAACTGTAACCCTCTAGTCCACAGTCTCCCTCCCAGGACAGACATGGACAGCTACGATTATGGAAGTCCTCTACTCTCCAGGGATCCTGAAGGCAGGGAAAGCCCTCTCACCTTTGAGCCTTTTTGAATAATCATTTTCAGCAAATATTTATTGAGCACCTACTATGTGCCAGGACCTGTGTCACCTGCTGGGATATAGCAGTGAGCAGATAAATACGATCCCTGCCCCTTCACAGAGCTTCCACTCTAGTGGGGGTCATGGATAAGAAGCAAGTTAACAAACAAATCCACAGGATAATGTACTTGGTGGTTAGTAAAATAGCAAACAGAATGGGGGATGGGATGGAGAGAAATGGGGAGGGGCAGCTGCTTTGCCTCAGACAATCACAGAAGGCTTCTCTGAGTTGGGGACATTTTGATTGAGATCTGAATGCCTTGTGAAGATCTGTGGGAAGAGCAGCCTAGGCAGAGGGAACAGTAGGTGCAAAGGCCCTGGGTCAGGAGCAGAATGGTGTATTTCATAAACAAAGTGGCTGGAATAGTGAGCAAGGCAAAGAAGTGGGGGAGATAAGGAAGGAGAGAGAACAGGAGCCAGATCATGTGGGACCAAGTGAACCACTTGCAGACTTGGGCTGTTACTAGGGGTAAGATGGGAGCCATAGGAGGATTCAGAGCATGGGAAGGATGTGATCTAATTTTTATGAGATCCCACCGGCTGCTGTGGTAGAACCGACTGTAGGGGCAGAGGCAGGTAGCAGGGAGGAGGCTGGCACAGCCGTCTAGGTGAGATGGTGGCAGTGGCCTTGGGTAGAGGTCTGACATGGAGTTGTTTGGGAAACTGTAGGAACAGGACCTGCTGAGCCACTCAATGCCCAATGCCCTTAGGCCAGGCTGGCCTGAGTGTGGCCTCAGTGGACCAGCGACAGGTTGGGCATCAGACCACCAGGGCCCAATGGTTCAAGGAGACTCCTTTTAGGAAAGAGGAAAATCTGGAAAAAATCTCCTTAGAACAGATCTCACAATAGTGTTTTCTAGTCAAAAAATGTTGGGCATTTAGGGCTGATCCTTGGAGGGCTGAGGGGGCTAAGACAGCAGGTACAGAGAGCTCAGTTTTCCCCTCTGGAAAAAAAAGTAATTCAAGCTGATTTTACTGAGTGCTAACTATATACCAGGCACTCTTCTGAGCACATGGATTAACTCATTTAATTCCACATCTCAGGGATCAGCACTGCAGCCCACAAATCAAATCCAGTTCACTGTTGGCTTTTATACAGCCCAGGAGCTAAAAATGTCTTTTATATTTTTAATTGGTTGGAAAGAAAAGAACACTACTTACTTTATGACACATGACAATCATATGAAATTCAAATTTCAGTGTCATAAATACCATTTTATTGGAACACATCCACACCCATTCATTATGTATCGTGGGTGATCACTTTCATGCTACATTAGCAGAGTCGAGTGGCCCACAGAGGGGAAAAGATTTGGGCCCCTATAGAAAGAGTTTGCCAACCTCTGCCTCACTTTATAGAGGAGGAAACTGGGACACAGAGAAGTTAAGTGACTTGTCCAAAGGGGGAACCAGGATTTCAGCCCAGGCAGCATGGTTCCAGAGCCCTGTACTCGTAACCAGAGCACCACACAGCCTTGCCGAGCAGTTCCCACAAGCGTGAGGGGCCTTTGGGAATACCAGTGCTAGTTTTCTGCTCCTGGGCTGGCTTCCTGGTGGGAGACCGCTATTCTCCCCTCCCAACATCTGCCTTGAAAACCTGCATCATCCGGGTCTAGCTGTAGGGTTGGGGAGGAGGGGCCCTGGGCTGGCTTCCTGGTGGGAGACCGCTATTCTCCCCACCCAACATCTGCCTTGAAAACCTGCATCATCCGGGTCTAGCTGTAGGGTTGGGGAGGAGGGGGTGTGTCCAGATCACGTCTTCAGCTTCTCTTTTTGGGGCTGATTAAAAATGGTGTTAAGTAGGTAAGATGGCGTTGAAGGTATTATAATGTCTCTGTTTAACTGACTCTAGACCAGTGTATTAGTTTCCTGCTGTAACAAATTACTGCAAACTTAGTGGCTTAAAGAACACACGTTTATTAGTATCTTACAGTTCTGGAGGTCAGAAGCCTGAAATGGGTTTCACTGGGCTAAAATCAAGGTGTCAGCAGCAGGGCTGTGCTCCTTTTGGAGGCTCTGGGGAGAATCCGATCCCTTGCCTTTTCCGGCTTCTAGAGGCCTCCTGCCTTCCTTGCCTCGTGGCTTTTCCTCCTTCTTTAAAGCCAGCAGCATAGCATCTTCTGAACTCTCTCTCTTTCTCTCTTGACTTCGTCATCACATCTCCTTCCCTGATTCTGATCCTCCTGCTGCCCTGTAACCATAAGAACGCTTGTGGCTACATTGGACCCACCGGATAATCCAGGATGCTCTCCCCCTCTCAAGATCTTGAACTTAATCCCTTTTGCGGTGGAATGTCACATATTCACAGGTTCTGGGGATTAGGATGTGGACATCTTTGGGGGGGCTGAGCACATCCAGCCAGGATGAACCTGGTGCTTGCGACCCCCCACTGCCTCCCTGTCCTAACCGGGCTGTTGCATGAGGAGGTGCTTTTGGCTGCGGGTAACGACATTTGGGGAGGACATCTGGATTATGATAGCTCAAGCCTTTCTTGATGGGTACTAACTAACAAAAATGGAAAAGTTTTAAACATGTTCCCTTGGTTTCCTAGCTATTTAATTTTTTGGCTTCTTTGGGGAGCCAGTGTGGACTTTGATAGTCTGCATTCCACATAAGATCATAGAGAGCAGAGGTGCACTTAACAAAACGTGTGGCACCATGGTGACAATGACCAGATCAAGTTTGATGAAGACCACTGTATAGGTGAGGAAACCAAGGCCCAGAGACATCAAGGGGCTCACTGAAGGTCATACAGCAAGTCACTGTCAAAGCTGGGTCTCAAACCAGGGCTTCTTATCCTCTCAGCCGTCCCTGTCTTCCACACCAGTCCTACTGGTACAGGTTTGAAAACTGACAGCCCAGGGGCCAAATCAGTTGTACGGACATATCTGGCTGCTGTGGTTTCTTTTATTTTTCTGTGGAGTGGGGGATTGTTTTTTGTTTTATANACATAAGATCATAGAGAGCAGAGGTGCACTTAACAAAACGTGTGGCACCATGGTGACAATGACCAGATCAAGTTTGATGAAGACCACTGTATAGGTGAGGAAACCAAGGCCCAGAGACATCAAGGGGCTCACTGAAGGTCATACAACAAGTCACTGTCAAAGCTGGGTCTCAAACCAGGGCTTCTTATCCTCTCCGCCGTTCCTGTCTTCCACACCAGTCCTACTGGTACAGGTTTGAAAACTGACAGCCCAGGGGCCAAATCAGTTGTACGGACACATCTGGCTGCTGTGGTTTCTTTTATTTTTCTGTGGAGTGGGGGATTGTTTTTTGTTTTA